CTTAGCATCCATACAGACCCCTGGAATAGTGTCCCAGCCGGAGAAGGTGGCGATGTGTTCAGCAATGACGGTGAAATTGAATCCTGTCGAAGCATTGTACGAACCAATATTTTCGTTGACGCACAAGATCTGAGACCACAGCTGTTACGAAATGCAAATAGAAAAAGAAAGCTAGTGCTGAGAGTATTATAGATTGTCTTATATCTCTATATAAAATATCACGTGTAGTCTTCTGTATTACATAGACCAATTTCGCACACATTCGCTGTGGACTGATAAATATATATGACACCGATAAAAGCCCCCAAGCAGACAATGGCGCGCCTCACTTTCTTGCCGTGGCCTCCATGTTTTGACCGTTTCTTCCCGCGTCTTCTGGGTGGGCCTCGGCGTCTGGGGGTGTCGTCGTCTGCAGAGATAATATCCTTGAGTTGATCTTTTCCTTCCCTCATAGATTTTTAATAATTGAAGAGGCAAATGCTATCGGATGTTTATAAATTACTAATGTTACCTCTATATTCATATATATATATCATTAATATCACAGGTAACAAGTCTGGCATTAGGATGCAGAGTGTATCACGTGCTTACCTGATTCGCACTCTTCAATGATGTTGAGGGTCTGCGAAAAAAATCAAAACGCAGATTCCATATGATGTAACGTTGCTAATTATTAAGAAGAACAGCTTTAGAAAGAATGTGACATGAATACCATACACGACTCTTTTCGCAATCATGCAATACCCAATCACGTTTATACTACTGAGAGTTGCTCAAATATACATCGCATGCTAATAAAGTAAAGATAAATATTCAACTGCGTATATACAGTATGCATGTGTGTGTATGTGCATCACACAGATATACATATGTTTATATGGAATCAAAGCGACAAATCCAATTTTAAGCACTCAACACTGTTAAAGGAAGTATGCAGTTTTGATCCCGAACAAAGGACCTCCCAATTTTGGATACTAAAACAAAGAAAGAAAAAGCTCATAAATCCGTGATTTATAATACTGGCTCAAAAATCCAAGTTTAAGGGATGGCGAAATACGAGTGATATTTGAGAAAAAAATTAAGTGAATGGAAATGAATATTAATTTTTTCATGAATATACAAATTTATAATGGATATGTCCTAGAAGGCTTAAAGGAAGAACATAAAAAGCAAGAATAAAAGAAGCATAAATGGAGGAATATCATGGTTAAAATTAAACCCAAAAGTTTAAGCCACTCTTAAGAATCCTGAGACAACTCCAACAAAGAACCATTTTTTTTCCAGGCTCCGGGAACCGTGGATATAACTGCATTAACAAAAAAATAAAAGATACTAGGTAGCACAATCTAGCCAATAATAAGATTTAGTATAATCAAAGTACTGGAATCTACAAGAATGCAAATGGTGCCTAGCATAACCTTTTGATGTAGGCTTATTACTCACATCCGTGGGAATTGACACCGAGCTGCAGTTGGCGTTTTCGTCCCAAGTCTTCAGCAACTCGAGCCTTTCGTTGCAGAACTCGCGTGATTTGTTGCTCACGCACGTCACGATTTCCGTCAGTTGCTTGGAATGCAAGAGATAATTTAAGTAAATGTGTTTATATATCTAATTTTCTTCTGGTATGTTTCACTTTGAATTATATAGTAACAAAAACAATAATCCACCGAGTGTGTTAATGAAACAAGTCATTCAATCAATTGTCCCTTGTAACGGGGTCCTTACCTCGGTAGCATTGCTGGTGGTGGAGTTCGCGGCGCATTCCTCTACGGATGACTGGATGTTGGCAATCGCCTGTGACAGTGAGATTGTTCATTAAATACTCCTATCATTATCACAGTATTTAAAACAACAAAACTGATTTTATTCCATTGTCTCTTATTCTGTCTCCCCTTTTCTCCGACTTAGACGCTATCTCCCGCACACACCCTTTCCACCGACCACCCACAACGCGGACATTTGAACAAACCTCCAAATCATATCCTTCGAATTCGCTCATCTTGAGGACTGTCTGTTCGACATCAAGGGTCCCGTTTTCTGTTTCGAGGCCCATTTTCTCGACCAAACACTCTACCATCCCTTCGAATCCATTTCGCAATCCTGGTGAAATAATGGGTCTGCTTGAGCTATGAGAACGGGAATGATTTATTATATATGTTACAGATATAGTGTTTGTATGACATGATTAGAGAGGGACGATCCTACATATTCCGTTCACCTCATGAGAATGAATTAGCTGGAACACAAGGTACGGCAAAATTTTAGAGAAAAACAGCGATCAGTGTTATGGTTGCCAGAAAGGGACACAGTATACGTTGTAACATAAGAACCAAGATATGAATGGAACTGCATAAAATGACATTAGGACACGTTTCGGATAAAAAAGTTCGATGTAGAAGAAAATGTATTAATAATGAATATTTTCAGTATGACATTTGTGTACAATTGCAACCATGAAATGCAGAATAAGTAATAATGAATTAAATAGAGACACATACCA